GCGTTCAGAAGCACTATGGTGTGAATACAGTCTAAAATCTTGAAAGGGGTTTTAAATCTTCCCTACACCATCCAAAACTAAAGCAAAAAGTTTTGGCTGGAACTTGAATTAAGTTTTTTTTTAGTGTATACTACATAATTTCCAAAAAATTTTCTGAGAGCATCGGTCCATAAAGACAAGCCACAAGTCCAGCAGCCCCTCTGGTGGTAAGCCAGAATGTCTCTTGTTATGCTAATTGCTCCTCAGTTGCCTGTACATTGTGTTTGGAGAATTAGAAAAATGGACAAATTAGTAACAATTTGGCTCATTGTCTTACAACAAAGAAACCGTTTTCTGCTTTTTTTTCATCAGGCACCTTGCTGCAACTCTGCAATGTTCCATGTAGATCCTCTCCAGAGAAATGATCATGTGTTATGTGTTTAATGTACTTGTACAGTTACTTAATGGTCATCTAGCTGCTATATTTCATTCTGGTTTTGGTTGGGCGAGTTTGTGTTGTCTGACCTGTAAATGAACCATGTGTGTCAAAGCTTTGAAATATCCTCAGGGGACGGGGGCTGTTTCACTAGTCACGTTTCAGAAAGAAAACAGAAAAACATACGATTTATCATCATTTATGCAAGTTGTGTGTTCATTCTAAAAAAAAGTATTAGATTTTTTGTTAAAATAAAACAGCTAAGAAAAAAAAAATATGTTATTTCAGCGTTCAACAGTGCCTTGCACTGCAAGATTTAAAGTGGGGAGGGAAGGGCATCACTAGGAGCATATTGCATATTGTTGTCACTCTAACAATGGGATCTTGCCAACAGGAAGAGAGAGTAGCAAGAGCACAATAGGGACTTCATGCTACTTTATTGCCCAATAGGGAGACAGGGGGCAGGTTAGTGACCAAATTGTATTGCTTATCTTTAGTGGAGCAAAATTTGGTCGCTGATATAGCAGACATCTGAATTACAAATCTCACCCAATTGCGATCGTTCCTTTGTATGGGTTTAAACTATGTATTTAAAAGTTGATTTTAGCCTTAACTAAAGCAACGCAAAGTGTTCTATTTCAGTTTTGTTACATAGAAAGTCAGATGTTCTGATATATAGCCGGGGCGGACTGACCATTTGGAAACTCGGGCACTGCCCGATGGCCCGGGGTCAGTAGGGGGCCCCTTGAGATGCCCCTGGTACCTTTTTCATAGGCTTTTTGGAGTTTGGGCAAGGACACAGGGACCCCATGATCCCCTATTGCCCGGGGGCCCCCATGGGTTGTCAGCCCGCCCCTGTATATAGCCAATTATGTCAACAATAAGACATAAACTAGTATTGCACTATTAATATTCATCCAAAAAATGTGTCTTACTGGAAAAAAAGAAACTTATATCCAAGGTATAGTCTTGTATTCTTTTCACACTGTAGATCCAAAAATTGATCAAGTTTATACATATACAGCATGCATAGCAAACAAGCTATGTGAGCCCAGTGACATATAATCTCATAATTAGTCTCATAATCAAAGAGCCATTTTTGATCGGCTTTGGTTTTGTGTAGAGGGTATCAGTTTGATAGGCTTCTGAGATCATTAAGAATACATTGGAGGATGCATTTGACTTGCATCAAGGGAGTTGTGCATTTACATTGACTTGTATTGGAATGCGGTTCTGCTGGCTGATCATAGAGCTGACCAATGACCAGATGGTCTCTGAACATCTCTATGGTCTAAGAGACCTGAAGTGACAAGCATTTCATCACTTCTGGTTAGGGCAGATGTAAACATAGCCATTTTTCTTTTCTGGAAAGCATGAGATCAATGTTTCTTTTTATTATTTAATGCTTTCAAGGGTAGAGAAGAGGGCTGGGGTCTTATAGACCCCAAATGTCTCCATAAAGAGGACCTTTCATGCTTTATTGCTATCACAAGTGAGAAAAAAGGAACAGTGTAAACCCCCCCCCAAAAAAACCCCCCATTTAATTAATTAATTAAATAATAATAATAATATTAATAATAATAATAATAATAAACAATAATAATAATACAAAAATAAAATTATCCTGTCTCTCTGTGTTTGTGCACAGAGGCAAATGCATAGAGCGGGTAAAATAAGTATTGAACACTTCACCATTTTTTTCAGTAAATATAGCTGCTATTGATATGAAATTTTCACCACATGTCGGTAACAACCCATGCAATCCATACATACAAAGAAACCAAAACAAATAAGTTATGTGTAAATAAAATGGAATGACACAGGGAAAAGGTATTGAACACATGAAGAAAGGAAGGTGCAAAAAAGACATGGAAAGCCAAGACACGAGCTGAAATCTACCAGTAATTAGAAATCAATCCTGCCCCTTGTCAGTGCAAATTAGTATCAGCTGGTTCAGTCTCAACTAATTGCCTATAAAAAGGTGTCTCATTACCAAGGTGTCGCACAAAATGCAAAGAGCTCTCTCAAGACCTTTGCAACTTTATTGTTGCAAAACATTCTGATGGCATTGGTTACAGAAGGATTTCTAAAATTCTTACTGTTCTAGTGAGCACTGTTGGGGCCATAATCTAGAAGTGGAAAGAACATCATTTAACCATAAACTGGCCATGCCAGGTGCTCCTCGCAAGATTTCTGACAGATTAATGAAAAGAACTATCAGAAGAGTTATGCAAGAGCCAATGACCACTTGTGAAGAGCTTCAGAAAGACCTAGAATTAGCTGGTACAATTGTTTCAAAGAAAACAATAAGTAATGCACTCAACGGCTATGGCCTGTATGCACTCTCACCACGCAAGACTCCATTGCTGAACAAAAAGCATGTTAAAGCTCATTTAAAGTTTGTTGCACAACATTTTAACAAGCCTGTGAAATACTGGGAGAATATAATCTGGTCAGATGAGACTAAAATTGAACTCTTTGAATGTCATAATACACACCATGTTTGGAGGTCAAATAGCACTACACATATCCCCAAAGACACCATAGCAACAGTGAAGTTTGGAGGTGGGAACATCATGGTTTGGGGCTGTTTTTCAGCATACAGTACTGAAAAACTTCATGTCATTGAAGGAAGAATGAATGGAAAAATGTACCAAGACATTCTTGATAAAAATCTGCTACCATCTACCAGGATAATGAAGATGAAACGAGGGTGGACATTTCATCAAGACAATGATCCCAAAAACAAGCTAAGGAAACTCTCAATTGGTTTCAAAGAAAGAAATTAAAGCTGCTAGAATGGCCCAGCCAATCACCTGACTTGATTCCAATAGAAAATCTATGGAAAGAACTAAAGATCAGAGTTCATAGAAGAGGCTCATGGAACCTTCAAGATTTGAAGACTGTGTGGAAGAATGGGCTAAAATCCCACCTAAGCAATGCATGCGACTAGTTTCTCTATACAAGAGGCATCTTGAAGTTGTCATTACCAACAAAGGATTGTGTGTGAAGTATTAAATACATTTCAGTTAGTGTGTTCAATACTTTTTTTCCCGGTGTCATTGACCGCATGGGTTGTTACCGACATGTGGTGAAAATTTAATGTCAATAGCACCTTGCCCTGTCAGCCCCCTTTCTGTATTCATACAAACTGCACTATAGCTTTTATGAATGGAGGACAGGTGGATGAATGAATGTTCTGCCTCCTCTATTCATACATCGTTTTTCATTGCTGGAAGCTAAGATACAGCTTCTATGAATGGAGGAGGGGTGCAGAAAGGGTGGGCATAGTTGGCACTTTCAACAAAAGCCTGTGACAGGTCCTTTGGCTCTATTAATACGTGGCAATGGAAAATTATGGCTGCAGGGATGGGGAGATAAGAAGACTGAAGATTTCAACTAAAACAGCAGCCAGCAGCATAAGGGACACTTTGCATTGCTTGTAAGTACTGTCCCCTGTGCTCATTTTTCTTAAAATAAATGCTTAATAAACATAGGCTTTAATGCTAATACTGTAAAGCTGTCCCTTTTAAAGCCACACGATTTGGAGCTGAGATCTTGACTCATACCTGCACGACACACCATGACCGTGTGACACATAAACCTTTTGTACAAAGCTCAAATCCAGCACAGACATTAAACATTAAAAAGATCAGGAATAAACAATACTATTCAATTGCTATACTTTGTAAGCAAATTGTTCATCTCCAAATGCTTTGCTATGTATTAAATTTCAACTCCAGCTATATTTTTTTGTTGGACAGAGTTGGGGAGAGTTAAAGATTTGAGAAGGTTTTTATTTCTATCTGACTCCACTGGGGGAATTTTCCTTCACTTCCTGTAGCTTTAACAGACAAGACATGGAAGTGCCGTTGTCACCTGGATACAATACATAGTATTTAATTACATACTATGTGTTGGAATACAGTGTTCATGTATTTTGTGCAACAACTATATCAGTATTCTTCAACCAGTAGATGGCAGTATTTATAGGGTTGTAGCTGCATCTATGGTATACTGTTTTTTCTCTGAATAAAGTTTCCTGTTTCCTTGTTGCAATGAAGCAGAAAAGCACATGTGGACTGTGCACTGTTTCTTCTGTAGAGCTATATACAGAATCTCCAAAACTATGTCAGGATTCCTAACCTTTCAATCTACTAAACTGTGTTTAATCTATGTTCCCATTGTAGGGATTTCCCATCTCTTCCTGTCCTGATACTAAAGTGAATGGAAATCTGCCAACAATGAAGACTCCGGCTGCCACCCAGATAGTTGTGTTTAGTTCTAGCTTAGATTATGGGGTTAGGGAAGGGTGTTTTTTTTTTTTGGAAAAGTTATGTTCTCCTTTAAAGCTGAACTCCAGACAGTTAAATACACAGGAGAAGCAAAAGCTTGGGTGTTCTTTTACCTGCCAAAGGATTTCTAACTCTATCCTGACAACCTTTGAATTTACACTGCTCTGCCCCACATTTCAGTCTAGTCTGTTAGAGTAGGAGATCAGATTGTTCTCTGCTGCAGTTTTACTTTCTCTTACAAGTCTCCTCCACACTCATTCCCTGTGACTGGACTGCGAAAGCTCATCCTTCTGTCACTCTGCTCTCTCCTACTATTAGCATGGTTGTAGGCAGGTGCAGTCTGTACTCTCCATTGTAGGTTACGATCAGGGGCGGACTGACCATTTGGAAACTCGGGCACTGCCCGAGGGCCCGGGGTCAGTAGGGGGCCCCATGAGATGCCCCTGGTACCTTTTTCATAGGCTTTTTTCAGTTTGGGCAAGGACACAGCAGCCCCATGATCCCCTATTGCCCGGGAGCCCCATGAGTTGTCAGTCCGCCCCTGGTTACGATTGACAAAAGCGGCAATACAGAATGGGAAGGAAGTCCTAAAGAACATAGTTTTCCTATGAATTCCTTTGGGAGCAACTGTCTGATTGGACGCTGGCACCGTAGTGACCACTGCAGCCATCTTGAGTGAGGGCAGAGCTTATTTAAGCTTTGGCTTGCATTTTGCGAGTGGCTAGAGTAGGGACAGGTCCCCCGCCTGTTATGGAAAGCACTAGCAGCAGGGAAAGGTTCCGGAGGAGAAGGGAAAGTGTAGCTTCCCATTTGGGTTGGACTGGCCAGGTGCACTTCAAATCATCAATGCAGATGCTGTCAGCATCACTCTTAATTAGAGGATCGCTACTGTGAGTTTTGTGAGTGGCTCCGGATGGCTGTGCTCATCCACCAGGTTTAGATGTACCTTGATGGAACATTTATAATATACAGTTTACCCTACTCCCCCTCAGTGTGTCCCTGTCACACCACACTGCACCCTGATCACATGGTCCTTGAACTGTAGCACATCTGAATGGCTCTTTGTGTTTTTTCCTCCCCTACTCTGAGCTATGGACAGGAACTTCATAAGGCTGATACCAATTTGAATTCAAATATGTAAGCTACTCTTAGATGGATCTAAATTCAGTTGGTTCAGTGGGGACTGACCAAATTTCGATCCATTTATGGCTGTCCTGATCTAATGATTGACTTCTGTAGAATGGGACGATTGGAAAACTTTTGGTGATGAGCAGCTGTAGCCGATAAAGTGGTTGCAGCTGCTGATCAGTGTATTCTAACAACAGAGGTGTCCCACTACCAGAATACAGTGGAACAATGGGGGATATTCCCCCCATGCTCCAAAAGGCTGATCGGCTGATCAGAAAAAAAAAGGAGGCATTTATGGTCAGCCTTTCAATGTATTAAAAAAAAAACACTTAATAATGTGTTAATGGTTACAGAGCTGCATGATTTTGTGTCATTTATATTTGCCTGGAGTTCAGCCTTAAAGTTTAACTATGGCCAAAATAAAAAATGATATATATGATATAGTCTGTTAGATACAGTATTTATAAAACTCGGGTTTGCCCACATCTGGACTATGCTGTCCAGTTCTGGTCACCAGTCCTCAAGAAGGTACTGGAACTGGAGAGAGTCTTGAAAAGGGTAACAAAGTTTATAAGGGGACTGGAGGACCTCAGTTACGAGGAAAAACTACAACTACAACTACAAACTTTTTTTTCCCTGGAGAAGAGACACTTGAGAGGAGATATTATTGTTAATATTATTATACAGGTAGCTATACAATTATCTTAATGGTGATTCCAGGGGCGGACTGACAACTCATGGGGCCCCCGGGCAATAGGGGATCATGGGGCCCCTGTGTCCAAACTCAAAAAAGCCTATGAAAAAGGTACCAGGGGCATCTCATGGGGCCCCCTACTGACCCCGGGCCCTTGGGCAGTGCCCGAGTTTCCAAATGGTCAGTCCGCCCCTGGGTGATTCTAGCATAGGGAATAAACTATTCAGTCTCAAAGAGTACAGGAAGATATGGGGCCACTCATTGAAATTGGAAGAGAAGCAGTCTAAACTGCATAGGGGTTGTTCACTGTCAGGGTGCTAAGGATGTGTAATTCACTTTCACAATTGGTGGTGTCAGCGGGAAGTATTGATAGTTTTAAAAAAAAACCTTGGATGGACATCTTAGCGAACACAGCATACAGGGATATGTGATATGATCTTTGATATGAATACACACCCCCACACAGGTTGTTGAACTGGATGAACTGGTGTCTTGATTCAATCTTACCAACTATGTAACCATGTAAGTTGCATTAACACAGCAGACTTTGGGGTTTTTTTCTAGCCCTCCTGTAACAGTTATGTAAAAGCTTTCTCCTAAAAAATTAACTATTGCTGTAACTTATTAAAAATGTCAGCTGGAGTTGGGCTATACATTGTTAGTCACTAATATAAAATCCACCTAAATCTACTGGTCCATCCAGCACCATCCTCCCCACTGGTTGACAATGTTGCTGTCCAAGAGTGGCTCTGTTGCTCCTCTACAGATACAGTGGAGAAGTGAATGTTGCTACTCTAAGAAAGGAAGTGTGTTGTGCTGGCCGATCACCAGGTGAAAATAAAGGAGTAAAAGCCTGAAAAAAAGAAAACTAATACACCCACCACATCCAATGTTTGGTAAGCTACAACAAAATATTCAGTTTTTGAGTTTAGTTTCACTTTAAGCTTTAAGCCGTAGTGTCAGCGATCCGGGTATGACCAGAAATGTGTGGACTGACACAGAGAAGTAACAGGCTTCAGGAATGATATAATAATAAAATTTATTATTAGCTACCCAAATATACAACATTCAGTAAATAAACCAACCTTCCACTAATCTTCGTATGTGCAGGAACACAGGCGCAGTCAGGGCTGGAGAGGTGGAAGGGTCAGGCCGGCCATATAGTTCTGTTAACGACCGTCTGGTGATACCCCTAGCAGTCCTCAGGACAGGATTCCCCAGGGCACGGAGTCTAAGTCCCAGTCTGCTTATTCACCAGGGCCCCTGATGGTGGGGATGGACTTGGAGCAGACAGGAACCAGGTCGCGGCCCCTGAGTACACCTGCTTGTGGTAGAGGGATCCGCCAGAGGTATATGCAGGTAGGAAGCCTGATGTGAAGAGGCAGAAGGTGTGAGCAGGGATGGCTGGATCTGTGCAGGATGGATGGATCGTCTGGGTAGCGTAAGGCGTAGTCAGGCAGGGCCAGCAACGTGCGGGCAGCGAGGTACCGAAGGAGCAGGCAGAGAATAGTCAGGGTCACAAGCCGGGTTCAGTAACTCACGGGCAGCATGGTACAGAGGATCAGGCAGAGAATGGTCAGGGTCACAAGCCGGGTTCAGTAACTCACGGGCAGCACGGTACAGAGGATCAGGCAGAAGGATGGTCAGGCAAGCCAGGGGTTAAACAGGAGACGGTCAGCAGGGTCAGGAACAATGCAGAGTCAGCAACAAATCAGATAGGCAGAGGTAACAGGAACACAGGATACAAGGTACAGGGGCTCATGGGAAACATTACACCAAGGCCCTGATCACAGGCCTAGTCCTGCTTAAATACACCTCCTGCAATCAGCTTCAGCTGATGGCTGACTGCAGGAGTGAGCTTCTGGTTGCTGAGAGCACCCGCTGGCCAGCCCTGGTACTGCAGCCCACATGGCACGTGAGTCCCACCACCAGTGGTGAATCCATTCCTGACACGTAGCAAAGAAAAGTCCTGATGTATTTGTAATGCTATAACTGTGTGATAATCCTCACAAGAAGAGCTCTGGCTGAAAAATGTAAAAGCGATCCAACGTTTATTATGGGCCCCCCCATGAGTTGTCATAATACTGTCTCATTATGATGCCTGCTCTTAGACAAGACTTTGCCCTTAGAAGCTTAAAATGGTTGACAGGTTCACTTTATATAACAAACAGAGCTTAAACGGAACTACTGTAATGTGCAGGACATGGTCATATATACCAGGCAGATATTTCACTGCTCTTGTATTAAACAGTGCATGGAGGTCATAACATCAAGGGTAAGTTTGGCAAGTGTGTTTATCATAGGAACACACTGGGTGTTTATTACCTCCTCTGCTGTACACACCATGAAACTTAGCAGTTAGAAATCATTAATGCAGCTGGCTGTTGGGTCATCCATTGTGTCCCTCTTGTGTCTGAATCTATATGTAATTTTCAAAGATAAGGAATATTAGCTGCACTGTACACAGTATATCCGAAAAGCTATATCAATGTCTACTTGCAAGTGACTTCAGCAAAATGTTTTCTACTCTCTTGTTATATGGATACTGTATATATAATTTGTTGTTTATCTGGACTCCTATTTTTCTGTTAGTGGTTTGTGTTTTTTCAGAAGATGATGTAAGCAAGGTTTTGTTATATAAATTTTGAAAAGGAAATATTTGAGTTATACGTATTTTTTCTAATTCCAAGTCGATAAACAGCCTATAAAAATAATTTTATAAAAATAATTATTATTTTTATTTGCAGAGCTGCTGCATAGAGAAAGTATATGTATCTATTAACACTTATATGAACCTGTGTGTTGGTAATGGGGTGTAAATCCATGTTATGGAAGGATCCCTCAGGACGATACTGGGGAGCCTGCAATGCCCATCGTTCTTTTTTCCCAGGTAGTATTTAAAGTGGAACTTCAATCTCTCAGTCAACATTGACTATTTTTAGTCTTTATGCTGCTAGCATTAGTAAATAAGTAGGAAAGTATACCCTATTTACTTTTTTTTAACCTTTTTTTTATATATTTCTTCAGTTACTTCCTTGGTTCCAGGCCTATGCAAATGATGTTATACATCCCAGGAGTCTTTAAGAGGGGAGGAGGGATTTTCTTAGCTAAGCACATCTACTTGCTTGCATGACTGAGTTAAGGGCAGATGAATTTCAGGAAGTAAATGCTATCTGAATCATCTGCCCTTAATCAAGAATGGCCACGGACAGAAATACTAGGGGTGTTTTTCAAAGTGATTTCTTAGCAAAATTAAGCATGGCGACATAGATGGATGGGTGAGTTTGCTTTGGGGAATAAAAATTACTTAAACAATGTTTTTGGTTTGTGGTGCTCAGATGCAGTAAAGTTCCACTTTAAGATCCTAGTGGGAGGGATTTGGTGGCTTGACGAGTGGAGAAGACCTCATGTTAGGTGGAAGGGAAATTCTTTGGTTGGTTGAAGGACATCTGTGCAACCATGTAAACTGCCCATGGCAAGCGATTTTATCTTTGGGGGGAAGGTGATGGTTTTCTTCCTGTGAGAAGGTATTCAGAAGGGGACACTTATTTTCCATGCTAGAGAATTTGGATTCCTTAGTATGACAAGCGTGGGTACTAAGACTCTTCTCCTGTTGACTATTCAAATTGGCACCAATTTCATGTTCCAACTGTGATAAAAAAATATGCTGCAGTGGTGTTGACCTTGATAAGGAATATGACCACTGTATTAAAGTTACATCAGAATTTCTCACAGTAAAGAATACTATTTTGTTTTTTATTTTCTGGTCTGGACATTCCTATTATTAGGAACATTTTCCTGAATCAAAAGCTTGCCAGAGGTGGAGAGTGGGGTTGTTTGTTAAAGAGTTGCCTCAGAATGATGGTGTAGATTAGTCTGACTAACTGGAACAGAAAGTTCCTCATGACCTTCTGGGGTGAGGACGTGGGGCACAAAATTATTGTCTACTGTGGTGGCCTGGTACTGAAGGAAGATAAGAGTCCTGAGCTCAGGCAGTTAGTTTGGATAGGAGGAACATGAGATACAGTCTGCCTGGTCTTATTTTCTACCTTCTGCAGTACATACTGGATTTGCACTAGGGTTAGATACAGTCATATTGTTCCTACTGCACCTCTAAAAGATGCACCGCTAAAATATGCACATTTATATCATTAATCTGTATGTGCCTAAGGTAGATGATGGATGGCAGAACAGTATATATATATTTTTGCCTTCTGAGAATTGCAGTATATGTTTCTGGAGAGGGAATTTTGTTGGCAGAAATTTTTACCTAAGTTATGTTATGTTCTATTCATTGACTATGACTTAAAAGTATCGGCCACTTCAATAGAGTCTTAAAATGAATCCTTTTAAAGTGTTAGTAAAGCTCACTTGTTACCAAACTTATATAGAAGTTCATATGTGTCCATTTCTACTCTGCCCTTTTTTGAACGGGCTTTCTTCCCAGTCAAATCTGTCATTGAAATGTTGTTAAGTAGTTTTGAGTCTGAACATTATGGCCCCGTGTGTATACATTTGGGCTTCCAAAACACTATCTCATGCTAAGCTATGCAAATGTCTTAATTATATTGTTTTAACTCAGTTGTACAGTATATAACTCATGTTTATCCATTTATTTAATAGCAGAGGTATGTTTGTGGTGGTCTTTATATGTTCCCATTCCTGTCCAGGCCGCAATCATGAATTGGGGCTGGCAGTGCATTTGTTACTGTTACTGCTGGATAGCCTAAGATGATGTCTTTATGTCATGTGTGGGTGGTATTACTGCCTGTTTTTGTGTGACATCTATCCATGGCTTTGAATGGTGAATTGAATGAGCATTAGCTGAATTGTCAGGTAGAGGTGAAATCTCTTTTATAGATCTCCAGATAGCAGTAACACCGTACAGGGCTTATTACCTTTCCCCATGCCATCCCAAACTATAGACATTGTTTAAAATTGTCAGTCTACCCAGTTAATACAATGTAAGTAGGTGAAGTCAGTCCCTGAGCTCTTATTTCTTGGATACTCCAAAATCTAGATCTTCTTCCAAAATCAGTGCTGTTCCTTATCAACTACAGTGCAACTCTTAATGAATGAGCCACCATTCACAAGGCCTACAGACTGTCATGTGGGGAGACAGAGGTGTTCCGTGCACTATGTACATGTTAACATTTAGAAAGTCTGAATTTCTAGGGGTCTCCCATGATGAATTTGGGTGAAGAAAGGGTGAAGAAAGGTGCAGAAAAAAGGATGCAGCAGTTTTAAAAAAAATGTCAGTAGTTAATGTGTTTCACTCTTACTATGGGCTACTTTGTCCATAGTACAGGTTTACTTTAAAAAGGCTTTTGTTAAAACCAAACACATAATATACAAGAACCTAGAGGAGCACCTTGGGCGCCAGGATTGCAAATAAAGGTTGCATAATAATTTGTGTTCTGTCTATATGACCATTATTGAGAGACAAATAATGTAAAGACGAAAGTTGGGTTTCCAGAAAATGGGAGGGTATTAAGTGATGAAAAAGGTAATAACTGTGGGGGGTGAGTTGATGGAGAAAATTAAAGTACAGTTGTTAGATGGGGGGCAGAATAGGTTTCTCTAAAGATAAGGGTTTTCAGAAAATGTCTAAAAGCAAACAGAATAGGAGGCAGTAGGACAGATTAGGGTAGGGAATTCCATAGGATGGGAGAGGCTTGGGAAAAGTTCTAGAGGCGAGCATGGAAGGAGGTGAGGAGGGAGTAGCACACATATTGTACTGTGGTAATGCATGCACTAACACGTGTTTTACAGCAGCACACTACAGTATGTTGTGTATAGCACCACCCCAATGCACCTATACTATAGTGAACTACAGTGCACCACAAAAAGATGACATGTATTGTGGTTTGCTAAGATTATTATTATTATTATTCAGGATTTATATAGCTCCAGCAGTTTATGCAGCGCTTTACAATCTAAGAGTAGACAGTACAGTTACAATACAATAAAATAAAATACAATATAAGTGGGTTAAGAGGTCCCTGCTCATTAAAGCCTACAATCTAATAGGGTGGGACAAATGCTAAAAAAAAGGAATAACTGTGGGGGATGAACTGATGGAAGAGTTAAAAGTTCACTTGTTTTTTGGAGGCGTGATAAGCTTCCCTGAAGAGATAATTTTTCAGGGATCACCTAAAGGTGGCCAGAGTAGGAGATAGCCGGGCATATTGAGGCAGAGAGCTCCAAAGGAAGGGAGAGGCTCTGGAGAAGTTCTGGAGATGAGCATGGGAGGAGGAGACAAGAGAACTATACAGCAGAAAGTCTTGGGAGGAGCGGAGAGGATAGCTTGGGTGATATTTGTAGAAAAAGATTGGTGATGTAGCTTGGGGCAGAATTGTGGATGGCTTTGTACATTGTTAGTATTTTGAATTTAATTCACTGGACAATTGGAAGCCAGTGAAGGGATTGACAGAGAGGAGTGGTAGACCCTGAACAGTTGGTATGGTAGATGAACCTGGCAGCATTCATGATAGATTGAAGATGGGGTGTGACAACTGTGGTGTCAGACCATTGCCCTTTCCACAAACTCATGACAAATGACTGGTCAACCTCACACCATGCTGTCACCGACATGCAACAATGACACGCTCAGCCCCAACAGGCTGAGAGTGACTGTCGCTGGGTTTATTTAACTGAACAATTACAGTTTAAATTGCCATTACCTACTTTACCAAAAAGTAGGACATTTTTACAAGATTAGCAGTAATAATTATGATTTTAAAATAAACGTCATTACACACACTGTCACCACGGACCGGTATATTCAGAGATTTATCCTGTAATAGCACACTTCAAGAGAAAGGGATTCTTTAAGTTTGTGTTAGGCATTAGAGATAATGATAAAAATATGGGTGCAGCACTAAAATCAAAATGAAAGTGCATATGCAAATGATAAATAGTGAATCATTGATTATCAATATATCAATAATAAAGTGCAATTAGTGCCAATTAGTGACCAAAAAATCATGAAATATAAAGTGACACAAGTGTTTTGTGATAAAATCATATACAAGAGTCCAATATAAATGAATCTAAAGATAACCACTCCAGGTGGCTAAAGTGTTGTATATGTGCAAGTCCAAATATTGAACGTGGGGATCTTCCAAAAGATCTCAGCAAGGGTGTTCCAACATCCTATCCCTCAATTAAAGATGGTAAATCTGGTAGTAGATAAATTGCGCACTCACCAGATGCGCAAAATAGTCACGCATTTGAGAACACAACTGTCTCATCAGGTCAGCAAGATCATCCACTGGTATGTACAGCCTGGTTACAGTTCCCCTTTGGATCCTCTGCTTGGTATCAGCACCTCAGGTTATCTCCTCAATAAGCTCTGTGAACGGTTAGACTCACAGAGAGCCCAAGAAAAGGATGCCACATAACGTGATACTGTTTTAACAGGATAATCTATTGCTTCCAAAGCAGGGTGTACAAGTAAAATAAAACAGACTGACCATGTGTTTCCAAAGATTGCTGCCAGCGGCGGTGTGACGTCACAACGCTGTAGCTCCACTCTGATGCATTTCGTGCTCTAGCACATAGTCATAGGGGGTATGCATACCAGGGGCTGACTTACAACTCATGGGGCCCCGGGCAATAGGGGATCATGGGGCCCCTGTGTCCTTGCCCAAACTCAAAAAAGCCTATGAAAAAGGTACCAGGGGCATCTCATGGGGCCCCCTACTGACCCCAGGCACTCGGGCAGTGCCCGAGTTTTCAAATGGTCAGTACGCTCCTGTGCATACCCCCTCTGCACAACCATTACAGAAGGGATTTGCAATAGTCAAGAGATACAAGGGAGTAAAAGAGTAGCTTGGTGGTTTAATTAGTTAAAAAGGGGTGAATTCTAAAGATGGTATGGTGGTGAACTCTGCAAGCTTTTAACAGCGATTGGATTTGGGACTGGACAAAAAAAAACAGAGCAGAAGGGATTTCTCCTGCATTGGGACTCATTCAAAATACATACTGTAGGTTGAACTGACACAGAGCACTGCAAAGCACAATATGTTTTTTTCTAATAAACACTAAAAGCTGGTAAGATTTCAAAAGTATCAGAAATCAGAATTCTGCACTAATTATAATACGAAGGTGGCCATAAATGAACATTTTTAAACATGTGATAGTTTTTTTCTATATTATTTCTATAGTGTGTTTGCTGAGAATGACCATAATAGATGACAAAAAAAGTTAGAAAGAACATTGATCTGTATTTATGTGCTGTGATTCTGCAGGTAAAAGCTGTGTGCTGGTTTAATGCTTATGTGACCTCTACTGGATGTCTGAGCACCCATGACTTACCTAACCATGTGTGGCCAAAGTACTATGTCTGTGAAATGAGCTCATCTAGTAATGCAGCTCTGCAGATTTATCAGAAGAGAGAAGGATGACAATATGTAGAGAATGATGCCAATTCTTCCAGATTAATGCTGAGCAAGTACAAGGCAAGAACAATGTTCTCACAAGTACCATTGTAGGGGACTGACTCAGCTGATAGTGACAGCTGAAAACTGTGCACCAGACAGGGACGACCAGGAACAGTCCAAGTAGCTGTAAACTGTGCACCAGACAGGGACCACTAAGAACAGTCCAAGCAGCTGTAAACTGTGCACCAGACAGGGACACTAAGAACACCAGGACTGTGCACCAGACAGTCCAAGCAAGCAGCTGTAAACTGTGCACCAGACAGGGACAACCAGGAACAGTCCAAGCAGCTGTAAACTGTGTGCACCAGACAGGGACCACTAAGAAAGAACAGTCCAAGCAGCTGTAAACTGTGCACCAGACACGGGGACCAGCTGTAAACTAAGAACAGTCCAAGCAGCTGTAAACTGTGCACCAGACAGGGGGACACCAAGAACAGTCCAAGCAGCTGTAAAGCTGTAAACTGTGCACCAGGGACACGGACAACCAGACAGGAACAGTCCAAGCAGCTGTAAACTGTGCACCAGACAGGGACAACCAGGAACAGTCCAAGCAGCTGTAAACTGTGCACCAGACACTGTGGACACAACCAGGAACAGTCCAAGCAGCTGTAAACTGTGCACCAGACAGGGACCACTAAGAACGGTCCAAGCAGCTGTAAACTGTGCACCAGACAGGGACAACCAGGAACAGTCCAAGCAGCTGTAAACTGTGCACCAGGGACAGGGACAACCAGGGAACAGTCCAAGCAGCTGTAAACTGTGCACCAGACAGGGACAACCAAGAACAGTCCAAGCAGCTGTAAACTGTGCACCAGACAGGGACGACCAAGAACAGTCCAAGCAGCTGTAAACTGTGCACCAGTCAGGGACAACTAAGAACAGTCCAAGCAGGCTTGATCTGTACTTTTTTCAGCAAGGCAGTAAATAAACAGTTAAATGCAGGAGGGCTTTGAACAGCCAGTCCATAGCATTAAACTAATCAAACATCTACTATTCTGAACCACTACCTGAACTAAGGTCAGTTCCTGACTAATAGGGTGTCCCCTAATAGGTTCTTCAAAACAAACAAGCAACACTTATACTTTTTTTAGCTTTCTGCAACAGTCAGTCTTTTCACCCAGCAGAGGGAGCGACAGAGAGCATCAGTCAGTTCATATACAATGTATACAGTGGTGTATTTAGGTTCTGTGCTGCCCTAGGCAACACAAAAATCATCTGCCCTCATGGACACCGACCAACACCACCCCCCCTTCCCTCTTCACGGAGAGAGAGCCTGTCATTGACCAACAACAACCCTGCCCCAATATCTAAAAGAACGTGGCGCTACTCATAAATCCCCCAAAAACACATAAAAATGAATAATTAATGTAAAGTGCCACACTAGAATGACCTCTATATAAAAAAATATAAAATCATGCAATCTGACACATGAACCAATATAATAAATCTACTGTGAAAAATAATCAAGTGATCATAGTGATACTACAATACCTCTATACATATAACTATATAATGGAACCAGTGTATTAAAATGAAAAAAGACCATATACTAATACCTAGGTCATACCAAATCAAATACAGGATAATATGCCAAAAAAAAAATCAAAGTGAATAATACACAATTATATGAACCTCACATAAGTATAATATAAATATAAACAAATAAATATAAATAGATGAAACATATGTGATAACACGTGCAAGTACAGTGCAAATACAACACTGATTGAATCAAACTATCAATGTGTGATCTGTGCTAAAAAAAAAGTCCAATAAGTGGGTGACACCACTACTGCAACTCCAACACATGTGCCATAAAGTGAAGTGACTCCGGGTGCAGAAAATCCAACCAACGGCTAGATCAGCCTCTCACCTCCAGACTTCGACCCATGAGGGTCAAAGCGTACAGTGGGATCAAACCCTCAGATCCTTCCAGCACACACTGGTCTCCACTGGTCCGCTCTCCCCACACACAGATCTCCCTCTCAGGGGGTCAGCATTCAAGCAGTGGCTCCTCTTATGGAATATGGGTATGTGCCAGTAAAAACATAAAAACAATCTCCCATAGTGTAGTAGGTTTATTTCATGAAGATCCAAAAAATATACATAAAGATTGACTCATATCTGTCCTCGGTTTTTAGAAACTTCAAAACCCCATGCTTTGGGTGTACTCTGCATGGGTATATAGAAATCAAGGGTGCACCATGGCGCTGGAAGTGCGTCACCACGTCAGGCCGACGCGTTGCGTCACAATGTCATGTGACTTCCTCAGGGCTCCATTATTGATAACACCCCTGCCCTACCCACTCGGAAGAACCTTCCACTACCCCCCCCCGGCGAAAGAGAGAAAGACACTCATCTTCAAAACTCCAGACATCCCTGGGAATGACAATCAAGCTCTACATACACCATGTGTGTGTGTGGGGTTCCCCTTAAAATCTATACCAGACCCGAAGGACTTGATATGAAGGGGGGTGGGACCCCACACGGTTTTTGTTTTTTTAATTTGAATTGCCGGTAATTTTTTTTACATTCATATCACAGTGGGGAAACCCGCTTACAGCTGAAACATGAAAGAATGTTTTCACTACTAAAATAACACGACTTAATAATATAACTCATGCGGTATTTTAGTAGCTGTGAGTATCTTACCTCATACTCAGACACGGTAAGATGCCGCTTAGTGAATTGTCCCCTCTGTTTGAAGATTGAACTTTCCTTAGGTTTGAATGTTCAATCGCGAACCGAACAGGGAGGTGTTCAGCCCATCACTGCTTGTAAGTATCAACCAGTGACAGGATCGCTAGGCTGACATATGACATATATGTAAACACTCACCTTGTAAAACAACCCATTCAGTTTAAAATAGAAATTAAAAGCAAAACATTTGTGCATAGATAAAAAAAAATGTAAACACCTTTTTTCCCCTTTTTTATTATTAATCACAATTCTTCTATTTCAGCTGCATAAGAGCTGGCAGAGGAGAAACAGCAGTGCACTGGTCATCCCAGTAAATGGCTGTGCAGGAGGTGGGTGTGTCAGACAGTTCTCTAGCTCCCAGCACAGCTACAGAACTGACCATGCTGTGCTCTCATGCTTAGTGTGGTCAGCTTTTAATAGGAAAGCAGAGGAACTGGCAGGAACACTAGGGATTTCACACAAAGAAAGCAATACAAAGAGAACAGGATATTTTTTAATACAAGTACATGGTACAGCAGGCACATATCAGAAACAGAAAATGTTGGGTTTACATATTCTTTAAAGTGATATTAAACCCAAAAGCAAGCATTTGTTATATTGCAGATTACCGATTCTCAGATACAGTGGCTGTATTTATTTTCCTTTTTAGGCGTTCTTTCCATTATTTTCATCTGGTGATCCAGCCAGGAAGTCTGCTATTTTTCAACAGAACATGCTACCCTGCAAATGTAGCATTAGAGTGTTGAAACAACCCATTTACCACTGACAGGGGTACTTACAATGATCAGCTTTATTTATTCATGCAAACCTTTATCCAAAAGAAAAAAACTGTTGCTGTAAGTGTGTGTATAACTGCGGTGTTAGCTTGAGTTTAGCCTCAATTTGTTAGTGTATTTTAATCTTCTATTTCATCTAACACTGCCCTTCCCCCAGACTGTCCAAACGTGCCCCCTGTGCTTCTTTATCCACAGTGTAGGCACTCTAATACAGAAGGTGTGTTACTGGCCAGATCGTCAGGTGAAAACAGAAGGGGAAACGCCTAAAAAAACAAAACTAATGCAGCCACCACATCTAATGATTGGTAAGCTGCAAGATATTAAATGTTTCATTTTGGGTTTAATACAGCTTTAAAAGCCACAATTTAAAGTGACATTGATGTAATTTTTTTGTTTGCTAAATGAGCTGTTAATAGCAAAACTTACATGCTCTTGCTGAGCTTCCTTCTCATACTGCCCCCCCAACCGCACTACCCGACTCTGGGAATGTGGGTGCCCCTTATGCCTGCTGGGACCTATGGAGTCCTGCCGGAGTCTCCACTATGCGCGGTCTCCAATTTAGAACTACAACGTTACAGTACGTGCAGCCACTTTCAAGGGGGATACAGAGCTAAAATTGCTCGGACTTGAAAGCCGCTCTCAATCGCTGTTGTGGAGGAGGAGAGCCTTGGCCTTTGCTCTGTGTCCCTCCAGCTCTGCCTGAGTGTGTGGCACTGAGAATGGCTACTCAATTAATATTGTCTTTCTCAATAGGAGCACACACATAGTGGAGACTCCAGTAAGACTCCATAGGTCCTAACAGGTGCAGGGGGTACCCACATACCTGCAGTCGAGTAGC